ATATTCAAACTAAAAATGCAACATATAAAATTACATGCAAATAGCATGATGCGAAATAGACAAGTACAAAATTTAGCCATTCAGTAGTGAAATTGATATGAAAGGAGTAGAATGAAAAAGGAACAGAAAAATGAAAGAAAAGAAATGAAAAAAGAATAAAAGGAAGAAGGACACATGGTTAATAGTGAAATAAGAGTTTACAACTAATATTTTTATAAGACCAGTAATAAAATTCTGTACCCAAGTAAAAATAGGAATGAAACCAATTTAGACCAGTGTACAAATTTAGACACCTTTTTAATTAACGAAATAGCCTTGTCAATAAAGCTTTGAAATTCAGTTTTTCTGTACTGGTATATCCTGATAGATTGCATTGCAATACGGATATCAAATTCATACTGGTACATGTATTTACCGTTTTGGCCTGTTCAATCTCACATTTAGGAGACCAATTTTAGAATGATATCAACTGGCAATTTTGGCTGAGAAATACACGTGTAGATAGATATGGTATAAAAAGTTGACTAAAAAATAATTTACATTTGTTTGTAAATTTGTAGATTTCATAGCTCAGTTTTGACCATAGATTTAACACCTGATAACGAAATGAACCTCAAGTTTTCATGTATATAATGGCTGACTGAAAAGTGATTGTAAATAATAGATATATTTGTATTCTAGATACAATACGATGTAAGCCCTGTTTTGGACAAGTAAGATGAGATGTGGATTTATAAGTTGTGAGCTTTTGTAAAAAGCTTTGGGCAAGTATTGAATCCAATGACCGGGGTAATAGTATATCTGTAAAGCGCTTCGAGACATTTGTATTGAAGCGCTATAAAAAGCAGAATATTATATTATTTGGTAAAATCAAGACAGGAATTTGTGCTGTTAGATACTCCACTGTCTTCAAAATATGATTTAACATGCATAGAAAAGGGGAAATTAGTCGAGGGGGGGGGGGGGGGCATACTTTTCTTTCAACCCTGCACAACCCCTTGAAGCCCCTCTGCACTACTTATACCTACTTGCGCCCTCTATATAGCAGTCAATGCCTAAGCGCTGACCATTGGTCCCCCATGCTCCTCTCTTTCTTACGTTAATTGAGAGCGGATTTTATGACATAGCCACCTGTCACAGTCAGTGACCACCCTGGGAGGTCTAATCCCTCCTGGCCAAACCAGTGCAGAGGGGCTTTAAATAAACTCCCCTGGTTGAGGATGATTTACATGGGGATTAGTTTACTAACTGGAAATAAACCAATGATACCTCACCGTACCATTCTGTGGAACGTCTGCCTGTGTTAAGTGTGATAATGTATATGGTATGATTGTGATATTCAATACAATCCTTCCAAAAGAATTGGATAACAGACTTTATTTTTACTTTGTTAGTAGTTTAGTTAGTTGCATGTGGATTGATTTTTGTGCAGTTTATTTGTACATTGTTTTTATGATAAGCATGATGCGGTAAGAAGGAACTTCATTGTTTCAAATTTCTTTGATTTTATACTTTTAGTAGATAACTATCAAACATTATAATTCTATTATGCTGCAGAGCTTTTTTCTTCTTCTTGGTATGGGATGAAAATAACTGTTTTAATTTCTTCGTTGTATTATGTTTTACATTGATTAATATATTGCCTATGAGAATCACACTATTACTGTGACCTTTGACCTTTGACCTTTACAGTGCACATTGCCATGGACATGCTACACTAAGCACATTATGTATTAAATCACATATATACCCTGCCGCTGCGCCTCATCAGATGCATTTACAAAAACATAAATACATGTATATTTTGTGATGATTTGAGACAACAGGCAATCTTTTGTACATTCCTACAGCTGTGATCAAACACGATGCGGTAAATCGCCTCAGAAGAATAAAAACGTGATGGGTAATGAAATGGCATTTATAGGGCTTGAGGAAAATGGTGCGTGAAAAGGTCCTTGGGTGTACCCACTTAAGTTTGTTTCATATGATACAAGAATGTCTAGTGCTCCTTGGCTTATATCTCATTTTATTGTGCTGATGTGTTACTATGTTCGTTCATTTGCTTTATTTTCAGGTGGTTAATGGTATTATGTGTGAATGAGGCTCGATGAGGACTGTCCCTCCATTGTATATAACATGTATGTACATGGGATTTTCAAGAATTAAGAGATTCTAGCTGATTACCAAATACTTGATCAGTCCATGAAATATTCTAATGAAATACTGATTTAGGAATGAATATAGTACTATGCATCAAGTACTATGTTTTTATCTTTATGTCTATGAGAAGTCATATGCTAAAGTCATGTGTTGTTTTAATAAGGACAGTTCTGAATCTGTTTGTTTTTTTAGTTACCAAATTATTTGAATTTGAATGAAGGTAATTGCCAGTTGTACAACATTATGGTTTACATGTTCAATCACCATAGCTCTTGATAGCCCAGACATAGCATTACATAGCATTACACCAAGCAGTATAGATAGGATGAGAAATGGATGGAAGAGAACAAATGTGTTGTTGACTCCTTCAAGTACAGGCTTATCTTCTTGGTACAGTATTACCGTGTGTATATCCATCTTGTATATAATGCAGCATGAGAGCTTTCTATAAATAAAGTTGTTTTGACGGACCATTTGATGAGTTGAGCAACCCATTCGGGTACTGTACATTCTATGGTGAATTGAACAATTTCAATAAGTTTGTAAAGAGCAGATCAAAATACTGGTCATTTTACTGTTGGTCACTGTCTTCACGCAAGCAATCAGACCAGTTAATGTACCGTCATTTGAAGAATTTTTTTTCTTCTTGAGTAATCAGTATTACTTCACTGAATGCAGCATTACTGCTTTGATTCATACCTCGTCACACAATCATCATTTAGTGTAAACTTTTTATTTTGTCTAGAGCCCATGACACACTATACGATCTAACTGGGATCCAATTTGTGAAGAAATTGCAAGATATTAGGTAAATAGATAATGTATCTTTCTGATTGGGTTCGGTTGTAGAGATATGAGCACTTACTTTGACAATAGGGACTTTTAGATTTGCGTGGACCGGTACGTGTGACGTCCATTCAAGGCAGTGCATTAAAAGGACGTCGATCGTAGCAATCCCCATTGTCTTTGTGCGAATCTAAAAGTCCCTATTATCGTCCCTATTGGGTATTGTCTTCCTTTCAGCTTAAGGAGAGACCAATTAGGCAGCAAATAGGGACTACACCCTGTAGGTACTCTGACATCACACAGATGTGCAGGTGATATTAGACCTCACCAGATATCCCACATTATCATGCAAGAATGGTTGTGCTATTCTATTTCTATCTGAAGCTAATCCTTGAATCAGAGAATTTACCTATTAATAAGGTAAAATCTAATTGCAATTGTTCAATTTCATTTGATCACGTCATTTGATGACGTCATGGGATCGCAGTTAGATTGTATAGTGTGTAGTGGACTTGTTGTACAGAGAGTTTTATATGAATTGATGATGCATGCTTCTATCACAGAAATTAAAAATCTGTTTCATACAACCGACTCTAGTTTACTCTTTATGTGACTGTCTACTTATTTATTCGATTAGGAGGAGTGAATCACATTTTCTTTGTAATTTTTTTAATTGCTACGTTGATAATATTTGACAAATTGCTTGGGTCAATGAAATTTCCCCTATTTTAATTTTATTTTTTAAGCAATATATTGCAGGATCTGATGTTTTTATCAAAGCAGATAAAAACTGAAATACTGAATTGAATATGTCAATGCTCTAATTGAAATACATGTATTATTATATCAATGTACAAAAACAAAACAAATTTAAAAACATGAAGAGAAAACAATGCAAAGAACTGGGACCAGTGAAACCACCTTGTTATAATGACAGCTAGTCACAATAGTATTCTCTAGGATTCTGTACAATTCAATTCTCAAGTCATTTTTAATATTCACATTTTAATAAAAAGAACAATGGCAGTGACAATAGCATATATGTTGAAGACAAAAATAAAAACAGAAACAAATTCAAATACGGGTGGGATTTGCGAAGGCGACAGGCCTTATCAATGGCAAACCCCATTACCCCCCAACAAATGAATAATATAAAACAGAAAAAACAAAAAACAAAACAGCATTACAAATTTCTAAAAGGCAAAAGAACTAGCTATCAAATGGGATTCAAACCATAAATGACATTATAAATTAGTTGAAATTAGGTATTGATCAGACAAATTTATATTTTCTTTTAAAATTGCAAGTGAGGGACAAGATTTTATTTTATTCCTTAGGGAATTGCATAGAATGTGTGCATCATATCGAATTGTAGATCTTGAGAATTCATACTTAAACTTTGGTAAATGAAAATCTTCTGATTGTCTAGTGTTGTAACTAAATAATGAAATAATAATAGTGAACATTTATAATGCGCCATGTCTGTCAAAAATGATACTCCTGGCGCAGTTGTGTGGAAGTTGTATAATTGTGCATGGGCAAGAATTCAAGAAAGAAAGTAAAATACACATAAGTTACAGTTTAACATACTTCAGGACATAATTACATAACTACTAAGGAATCTGTTTTTATGAAGAAATTATTATTAAATGAGGGTAGTAACTTATGAATAAAAGGAAAGGCAACATTGTGATGCTGGAACTAGTGAAGGATGCCGCTTCGCAGCGAGAAATGGAGTGTTTTAACGAGTCTGAAATCGTAGACTATGACTAGTAAAACAATAGGAGCATCTAAAGAACAACAAAGCGTGAACTGTAGCGTTTGTGCACGTGGCACACCATAGCTTATATCAAGTCTTTGAAGATATATTGTGGAATTTCTGGCTCATTGTTTAATCCTTAATTGATGTTATTTGCTATAAAAAAATATATATATTTTTATACTTTAAAATATCTTCATAGCGAAATTTATACATAACTATTTATATTTGATGCAAAATAATAACTAAATATTTAGTATTAATCAACCTGGTTGTACCCAAGACTATTTTCTTTTGCTGTATACTACATGTTTGTTGTTGACATGACAAGCAGTGCTTGTACGTGTACTGTATCGTGTGAGCTGAGTCTAATCTAGAATCTAGTGAGGCTGTTACAAATGAGAAGAGCGAAGGAGCACCAAAATTACATCTATTAAGACCAGCGATACACAAGTAAGTTGTAAAAATAATCAATTTGGGCTTTGCAATAACACTTTGCAGCCGGAATAGCAGTCGAGCGAGTACGTGAACGCAGAGGCGAGAGCTAGCGAGTAGCGTACGATCCACGTCCAGCCGCCGTGCTTCCTGGCTTGGCCTTGTGGCGCTGGCCGTGTTCTGGGCCGTGTACGTATACGTGTCACTGCTTTCGTTAGATTACTTTTACTTCTACGTCGGTACTTGACAGGATCCATCAGTCAGGATATAACGTCAAGGTTAACAGTATAAGACATTTGAGCAGGGCAATTTTTAAATGTTATTGCCCTCAACAAAACTAGATCTAGATCTAGGCAAAAAAATATTATTGACCGCTCAGAAAAGTCAATAGGATTTTGTGTGTAATTTGCTGGTCAATACGGTTATACAGTAAACCAATGAACAAATATTATTGCCCGATCTGAAAAGTCAATGGGATTGTTTGTGTAATTTGCAGGTCAATACGGTTATACAGTAAACCAATGAACACATATTATTGCCCGATCGGTTTGGGCGATATAGACCTATATGTCGTATTGCCCAGAAGGCAGTCAATATTACTTGGGCCTAGATCTAAATATTGTAGTGATTCAGCCTGAGCCACTACGGCTCTGGCGGCTTATGCGCGTAAGTCCCGCATTAGGCGACACCCGCGGTAGTTTCCGCGGGCGTGCTTATCACTGGGAACGTTAGATTGAACCTGAGACTGCACGCGACAAACACTGTTGATTGCTCGTCTCTTCTGTCTCTTCGGTCTACTACTACTAGCGACGGTGGAGCTCCACTCAACGAGCAACACTTCAAGCGCTTCTTGAGACAGACTTCAAGCAGTATAGTATACAGCCTATGGTAGGATAAATCCTTATTATAGTCTTTCATGTAATTATAGTTAAGATTTAGGCCCAGTAAGTTATATTCCGCTCCGTCACTACAATGGCGTAATCGCTCTTTTTCGGACCTGTAGGGGCTAGTTTTTTTTTTATCGCGCACGTTTTTGAGCCGCCATCTTGTCGGCGTTCACTCGTGTGTTGAAGGGATTTTCTATTTTTGTACTTTCATTCGTAGGGCCTTGTAAGCTTGTTTATTCCCTATTGGTAGTTGATTAGTGCTGTAGATTAGTATATTAGGGACTCGTAGAGTATTTTCAGTGCTGTATTCCGATTTTTGGGTACTCATTTCGGTGTTTTGGGGATAATTTTTTGTGGTTGCACACATGTCCGAGCCGCCATCTTGGATACGTTGACTCGTGTGTTGAAGGGATTTTTTATTTTTGGAACTTTTTTCGTAGGGCCTTATCAGCTCATATTTTTTCATTTCTTGTCTACTTAGGGTTGTAGGATAGTTTGTTAGGGACTCGTTGGTATTTTTACGGCCGTATTTCGATTTTGACATCGGTTTCGGTCAGTTTTTGTACTTACATTTGCTCGTTTTTTTCTTCTACTCACTAGACTAGTTGTACAGCCGTTTTTTGTCGTGCTCGTAGTTTTGATCCTCTCGCCAGAGTTTTATACTGTGGAGATAATTCCACGGTGTTCTTTTTCGGTGAGGTATAGGGTCGGTTAAGTAGAACTTAGTAAGTAAGGGTAGGCTCTATTTAGACTAGTTTCAACCCTCTTGCCGAAATATTATTACCGTGGAGATAATTCCACGGTGGTTTTTCGGTGAGGTATACTATGGGTATAGGGTTTAAGTAGGAGTAGAATTAGTGAGTAGGAGTATAATTAAATTAGTTTCAACCCTCTCGCCGAAGTATTATTACCGTGGAGATAATTCCGCGGTGTTTTTTCGGTGAGGTATACTATGGGTATAGGGTTGTTTAAGTAGGAATTTTTTAGTAAGAAACTAAGTAAGATTATGAAAGAAATGTAGTGGAAGTTGCCCCCACCCCCATACAAGCCTCCTACCACAAGAGGGCGCCATTGGCTTTCTCACACGGGGACGACAAGCTCGTACAAGCTTCTGGCACAAGAGGGCGACATTGGCCTTCACGAAGTGGGGACAAGAGATTGAGAACTGACACAGACTGACTGGTACACGTTGAGATATACTCCGAGTAACTAGACCGGTAAGTGAACGTTCTTTGTCTCATTTGTAGCATTTAAGAATTGTAACTACGTAGCCTATGATCCATAGACCAGGGCTACTTCATTGGCGCTGCGAGCAAATTGCTTTCTTGCATTTGCGGTGATTTTTAAGACTTGTAATTTTTGCACAGCGAGCACGGCTGCCCTAAAGCATAGGTAAAACATATGCGGTCCGATGCGCTGGGCTAAGCTGCTCGCTGTGAATTTGATATAAATCAGTAGACTAGATTTTAGGGTGAATTTCGAATTTTCGTCTTGGGCAGGGCGGATTACTCCGTTTTGCTTATTTCGTAATTTTTGGTGTATAATTCTTTGTTATTTCGTGTGGGTGTTTCGAGCCAGGCTGTACTATTGGCCCGGTTTGGGACACTTTTGCTGTAATTTTTTTTTGGTCGGTCGTCTGCTCTCGCAAACTCCAAGTGTAGTTCCGTCACGGCTGTATGCGTGACTGGACTTTTTCACTGGGGGTTTGAGGGCAGTGCGATTCGAGTGTGCGTGTTTGAATTTTCTGTAGCGAGTGTTTGAACTTTGTTTGTGATGTGGGGTGTCTGATTAGGCATCGTTTTGTGTTGAGCGGTTGTTTTGTACGTCAATTCGAGCCAGGCTGTAATATTTAGCCCGGTTTGAAACATTTTTTGAGTACGTGTTACTTTGTTTGAGCGCGCAGGTTTTGGAGACTGCCGTTCGCGCCAAAAGCGTTTACCACGCACTGCAGTGTATTGGATTCGGCGGAGGGATATTTTTTAGTCCTTCTCCTCACGATCGACGCCATTTTGTTTTTGGTTGTTGGCTGTTCGCCGACGGGACCTGGATCTCTTAAATCTAGGACCTGGACCTGATTTTAGGGTTGATAGCAGTAGGCTGTCTATAGTATTTTAGGTGCGTGAGTGTTTGGTTTTTGTGCGTGTTGTGTGTGGACCCACCCACTCAGTGTAGTGCGGGAGTCCTTTCAAAAGGAAAGAAAAAAAAAAAAAAAAAAAAAAAAAAAAAAAAAAAAAAAAAAAATTTGATTAAATAAAAGAAAGATCGGGTGTGATTATCCGTGTTGAAGTGAATTGAGTAAGCTGCACCTAGAAGAATTCTAGTTAATTCTAGTTAATTCTAGTAAATTTTAGTTAAGAATTTAGGAAACTTATTTTTTCCGTCGGATAATTTCCCCGACGTGAATTGGTGGTAATTTAGTGGACTATTTTAAGGTTTTTTGATTAGCCTATAGTGTCGCTATGAGTATGACGGATGGGGAGGCTAAGCTCCCCATTAATGCGTGTTCTTTTGAAGAACTCGCAGTCATGCCGGGGCTAGCTCCTGCGCAGGCCGGGATCATTTTGGGTCTCCGGACTGAACATGGGAATATAACCCCGGAATTATTTGAAGCGTCCCCAGGGCTAGTAGAGTCCAGGGGGCTTCTAAGTGGGTTCGACTTTACTCCTCGGGAGAATACCCGGGGGGCAGGGGGGGCTCCCAGTCAGGATAGGGTTAGCCAGAGTGTTTTTTCTACTCCGTCGGGGCAGCGGGCCCCGAACACTAGCACCCCCTGCGGAGCTCAGGCCCAGGCAGGGGGACAGCAATACCCATATGATGTGTATCCGCCTCCATTTTCTAACCAAGGGGATGTATCTGGAAGGCCCCGGGGCGTAGCCCCGACTGGATTTTCCACCCCCGGGGGAATGAACCAGTCGCTGGACCCCCATGTGTCCTCGTATAGAGCTAGGGGAACCCTAGGGGAGGACAGACCCTCGAGTTATCAACCCTTGGGGAGGGCAGACCAGGCCCCCAGGGGAGGGTCAGGAGGGCGTTCCTGGTTGGGGGGTGTGCCCGCAACGGAGCAGGGGTGCACAAACCCTGAGGGGCGACCTAATCGAAGGGGGGTAGATGTGGGGCGGGACCCGCAAGCCCCGCCCTACCCTGGATTCAATGCCAGGGATATCCGGGAGGAATTCCAACCCCTAGTAGGCCGGGAGGGTAGTCCCATCCCAGGGAATCAGATACATCGGGCTTACGCCCCCAGGGGGGATAGGCAAGAGGGGAACACGGGTAGGGCATCCTACCAGCGACTTCCCAGGACTGTTTCATTTGATGGGCGCGGAAACTGGAGAGCTTTTCTGCATAAATTCACGGCGTTTGCGGACCAGCAGCGATGGGATTTTCCCCAGAGGGTGAATCAGCTAAGCTGGTGCCTAGAGGGGAAAGCGGGAGATTATTTGAGCCTGACTCTGGAACAAGAGCCGCTCCTGGATTATTTCACGCTGGTCCAAAGAATGGCGCAGCGCTTCGACCAAGGCGGATTGCCGGAATCTGCTCAACTCGAGTTTGCGTCTGCCAAGCAGGGGCCAGAGGAGTCCCTGCCTGAATGGTCCGATCGGGTGCTCGGGTTAGCTCTCCGAGCATTCACCGGGGTCCAGGGGCCCTATTCACAACAGCAGGCGGTCCTCCGCCTGTGCCAAGGGTGCTTAAATCGGGAGGCGGGATGTCACGCGCTGACTCAGCATCCCGCTACCGTTGAGGAAGCGGTAAGGCATATTCAGTGGCACCAACATGTGTACCGGGCCATGTACGGGCGGGTGCGTCCAGGTAAGTCGGTTGCCTTTGAGGATGCGGGGGAAATTGAAGTCCGCCAAGTGGACTTATCCCCCCAACCTCCTAGCCGATCTGAAGACGGGCAACTCGCTGCAGTAGAACGCCGAATGGTGGAGCGCCAAGGCCGAATAGAGGCCCGGGTAGCTAGTATGGAGCCCAGGGTAGCTAACATGGAGCCCCGGGTAGCTAACATGGAGCCCCGGGTAGCTAACATAGAGCGGGATGTCCGGAAGCTCCTAGAGACCCTACAGTCAAGGCCGGCGGCTTCCCGGGAGAGAGCCAAGTCCCCGGGGGGTGACCGGTGTTATGCTTGCGGGGGACAGGGGCACTACCGGAACCAATGTCCCACAGTTCGGGGGGACAGAGGGAACGCGCGGGTTTCTTGTGTTAACTGCCGAGAAGCGGGAAACTCCAGCGGGTCGGAGGAGGAGGCCAGTCCCCGACCCGACCCGAACGAGGCCAGCCACTAACCGGGTCACCGGTTAGTCGGGCGGTTATTCCTCAGGAAGCGTTAAATCAGGTGGGAGAGCCTGGTTCCGGTGGGTCGGGATTGATGGAAGCCACCACGGAGCTGGGCGAGGCACTCTCCCAGTGCATAGGAGAGGTTACATTTTGCGAACCTTCGAATCCTCCACAGATGATCGGGTCGCTGGACCCGATGCCGGAGGCCACCCCGGATCTGGAGCCGGATGTCACCTCGGATTCGGAGCCGGATACCGCCCTGGATCCGGAGCCGGATACCGCCCTGGATCCGGAGCCGGATGCCGCCCCGGATCCGGAATCGGAGGAGGAAGGGGCGGAGGTAGTGGTTTGCCGACTGCATTCCAGTTCCTCTCTTAATATCCCTATAGTGATAGGGGGTTTCCCCCTTAGGGCAATAGTGGATACGGCGGCTGAGGTGACTATCATCTCGGATCGGGTGCTTCAGCATCTGAAAACGCAGCCCAAAAGACTGCGGAAGGCCGTATTACATGCTCCAGGTAGGGATATAAGCATGAGGGGGTCAGTAGTGGGGCCGGTGAGCATTCTGTTGGGGGGACAAGAGTTCCCCAAGCAGTTGTATGTTGCACCCATTTCAGACGACATGTTGCTGGGAAGGGATTTTCTCCATAAACATAGGGCGGTGATTCACATGCATCATCCCAGGTTACTGCTAGGGGAAGTGGAAATTCCCATGCAGCATGGGGATAACCCCAGGCGGATGGGTGTAGCAAGGGTGTATGCCCGCAAGAGGGTAATCCTTCCTCCCAATGCCGTTAAGAGGGTGACTGGGGTTATCGACCAACGGATAGGGGATTTTGTGTTTGGACCACTGCTAAACCCTGTTCCTTATATGGGGCGGGGAAGAGTGCGGAGGTAAGAGAGTTGGTAGCCCGGACACGGGGTAACCGTCTCCAGGCTCTCCTAGAGCAGACTCGGGTTAACGCCCAAGCGCTCTATGGCCCGTTAGGTCGGGTGTGCACGGGAACTTCTGTTCCTGTAGCGCTAAGTTTTCATGGTGCGTGTGAGGGTGGGAACTATTTAGTTCCTATCTCCTTGTTTTTGCTACATTAACAAAAACATATACCGTAGGTCGGGTGTGCACGGGAACTTCTGTTCCTGTAGCACTAGGGGTCCGTTAAATTTTCAGGGTATACTTGAGGTGGGGCTTATTTAGTCCCTATCACCTTGTTTTTGCTACATTAGCAAGAACATATACCGTATGTTAGTAAGTTTTTTGGATTTTTAGTATTTTTTCCTAAATGCCCGTTGGCAAAGGTTTTGGTTGTTCCAAGGGGGACTTTTTTTTTTTTCCCAAATGGCCCGCTCCGTGCTATAGCGGAACTGACGCCTCCTTGCTGCGCCGGAGTGACCTAGGTGGGTTTCTGGTTCTCCAGTCACACTCCGAAAAACCTGAGTAATATACCCCTCGGGTAGGTAAGATGGCGTCATAGCCTGGGAGGACAAGCGGATGGCTCCCCGCTATGGGGGCGTGGATTGTTTCGGGTAGGGAATCTCCCCCTGGCAATTGTAGTGTTAAGTATTAAGTATGTTGGTTTTTTAATGAATAAAACAAAAATATTTTCATGTTGTATTACCCCGTGTTTTGCTCGTTTGGGGTCAAGTTTGGCATGTTTAATACATGTTTTTAGATTAGGATGTTGTACGGCCGCAAGGGAGGGTAAAGCATAATTATTATTTTTTTTTTTTTTTTTCCCTCTATCCGGTTGTGGGTAAGATATTTCACTGGGTTTACTTCAATTGGTCCTGGGTTTTTTAAAACGGGGGGGAGTGTAGTGGAAGTTGCCCCCACCCCCATACAAGCCTCCTACCACAAGAGGGCGCCATTGGCTTTCTCACACGGGGACGACAAGCTCGTACAAGCTTCTGGCACAAGAGGGCGACATTGGCCTTCACGAAGTGGGACAAGAGATTGAGAACTGACACAGACTGACTGGTACACGTTGAGATATACTCCGAGTAACTAGACCGGTAAGTGAACGTTCTTTGTCTCATTTGTAGCATTTAAGAATTGTAACTACGTAGCCTATGATCCATAGACCAGGGCTACTTCAGAAACTAAGTAAGATTTTGGAAAGAAACTACGTAAGTTCTTACTTTTTTAAGTAGGCAATCGGTCTTTCCTGTAAGAAACTAAGTAAGAAACTAAGTAAGTAAGCAAGTATTTTCCTTTAAGAAACTAAGTAGTCTAAGCAAGAAGTATTTTCCTTGAAGGAACTACGTACGTTAGTAAGTAAGCAAGAAGGAAGGATTGGGTAGGTACCTAAGTGGGATTTTTGACTGTCAGTCTTGTTTTGGATATCTGTGGATTTTGGGTTAAATCGTGGGTGGTATTTAATTTCATCTTCATTTCATCATTACTAGTATTGTACGGCCATCTCGCCGAGCATTATACCGTGGAGATAGTTCCGCGGTGTTTTTCGGTGAGGTATATTGCCGGTTTAAGTGTAGTCCTTTAGTGTTACTTAGTAGGGTTTAGTTTTGGCCCGCTCGCTGACGCTGTTCACCGTGGAGATAATTCCGCGGTGTTTTTCGGTGAGGTTTAGGGTTTCAGTATTTACCTGTCAGGCACTTAGTAAGCTATTAGGAAACTGAGTAGGGTATTATTAAGTAAGCAAGAAGGAAAGATTGTATGTGTATTTAATTTTATCATTTGGCTATTTAATCGTTGCTGATTTAAAGCCGGTTATGGCCTCAGAGAAGGTTAAAGTGAATTATGGGACTGAGGAGGCTTTACTGGCCGTTGTCGATAAAACAAAGTCTGGCAAAATTATTAGTTGGAGGGAGCAATGTGGTAACTTAACAGAGGAGTTATTTTTGCAGTGTCCCCGTCTCCATGAAGCCAAGGAGCTTTTACGTTTATTTGATTTTGAGCCTTATCAGGCTAGGATAGTTAAACCTACAGATGGAGGCCCAGCTGGGCCTGTAGCTAGTTCTACGGCTGAGCAACAGCAGGGGAGGAGCTCGCCGCAACCGGCCAGCTCCCCAGCCGAGCCCACAGCCGAGTATCGGCTTAGGGCCGTTGACTGTCCGCCGTCCAGGGAATCCCCGCCCGACAGGTCTTATCCTCCTAGGGAATCCCCGTCCAGAGAACCCCCACGTAGGGATTATTGTTATCCCCCTTCTAGGGAATCCCCTTCTAATAATTATGGTCCGCCTTCCAGGGAACCCCCACGTAGGGATTATGTTTATCCCTCTTCCAGGGAATCCCGATCCGACAATCAGTATCCTCCCAGGGAATCCCCACCAGGGGGTCAGGGAGAGTACCGGTCGCAGGGGCGCCGGGATTGGCCCCCCCGTCTGCCGAGGTCACTTAATTACGATGGGCGAACAAGTTGGCATTCCTTTCTCAGGAAGTTCACCAGTTATGCTGTATCGTGTCAGTGGAGCCCAAGCGAGTGTTTGGACGCACTGGGCTGGTGTTTGGAGGGGTCGGCCTCAGAGTGTTTTTCGAACCTTAGGGATATGGGCACTAATTCTTATTACCATATGTTAACAGCGATGGGGCGTCGGTTTGGGGCTACCCGATTTCCGGAGGAGGCCATAGCCGAATTTCGAACGGCTCGCCAACTCCCGGAGGAGTCTCTTCTTGGGTGGTCCGATCGGCTCCAAGCTTTGTCCTTTGAAGCTTTTGGGTGGGACCAACGGGGTGACAGCACTCAAATGGTATTGCAGTTATGCCAGGGTTGTACGGATAAGGCGGCGGGTTTAACAGCTCTCAATACGCGCCCGAAGTCCGTCGAGGAGGCCCTGGAAGCCATCAGGTGGGCGCAACATACCCAACGTGTTGTTTATGGGAGCGAGGCTCGCCGTACGTATTCGGCTTCTCGGCAGCAGGTGCAGCAGACTTGCATGTACGATCAGGAGGTGGACAGGTATGATACGGTAATTTATCATCATAGGCAACCCCATCCCCTAAATCGTTCCCCAACAGTTTCCAAAGGTCAAGATGTTCCCCGTCCGGCTCCCGTGGAGGACCGGGGGAAGGTCACAACGCCTTTTGAAGTTCAGGCCAGGAATGACATTGGCTATTTAAAAGAGGAAGTCGCCAGTCTTAAGACGCATGCGTACAATACCGATTGTATGCTAGAAGAAATACTGAAGACTGTTAAGTCTTTGGAGTTTTCTATGCTTTCCAATGCCCGCCCTCTATCTCCCGTGGCTACTGGTGTTCCGGAAAACCTGGAGGGATCGGAGAGCGAGGCCGATCTCCGATCTGGAAACCGAGAGGCCTACAATCGGTAAATACTGGGGTAGTTAATGTAGTTAGTGACCCGCCGGACTCTTCGGTCGGTCCCTTGGACAAGGTAGTTAATGTTAGTGACCCGCCTGACTCTTCGGTCGGTCCCTTGGACAAGGTAGTTAATGTTAGTGACCCGCCTGACTCTTCGGTCGGTCCCTTTGTCAAGGTGAATAATGTTAGTGACCCGCCTGACTCTTCGGTCGGTCCCTTTGTCCAGGTAGTTAATGTTAATGTTATTGTCGCTAGGACGGCCGTGGTGCCTCCTTCTAGTGGGAAGCGGGTAGGATGTAAGGTTGTTGGGAGTCCAGGGCTCCAGAGTAAGGACCTTTCCCTTTTCCAGCCCACCCGCAGGCTCCCATTTTGGATTCCTCGGATCGTGTTTGATCGGGGGAAATAACATGTTGAGTATATATATTATGGTTCGTTATCAAAGCCATTCACAACGGCTCGTCCGCGAGGACATGGTGCCGGTTCCTGTTCCTGGGAAATAACATGTTTGTCTTAAATATATATATTTTAGTTCACTTTTGTTTACACTGTTTAATTTCATTGTAAATCGTCCATTCTGAGTTCCTGAACTTTAAGTGTTGATGTTTTTAAACTGAATGGATAACAATTAAATAAAACTGAAAAGTTTCTGCTTCGGTTAGCAGAGTTATCTATGCTGAATTAGCTGCTCCGCTTTAAGAGCTGACTAGGAAGCATTCTTTCCACAGGGAGACAGAGCACCCATGTGTGTTCGAGGCCATAAAACGGCCGGCTTTTGATATCTCCCAAGTGACACTACGTGGTTAAGTCAGAATATGATCATGTTTTGGGGGAGTAATTCCTCTGGAGTAATTCCTCTGGATCAACAAGAGCCTTTTGGATTTGCTTGATGGTGTTGTGGGCCTGGGTGCCCTGAATGATATCAGGAACTTGCCGGTAGTGGCTATTGTGCCCCCGGGTGCCGAGTGGCCCAGAAAATGTAATCTTATTTTGTTGTTTTCACCTTCTATATCATTTTCCATCTGATTTCAGTGATCTGCTCTTATCATTCTAATACTTCTTATATGCACCGTTTGGACTGCCTGTAGGGAGCCGTTTGGCTCTCATGTGGGATTGCCCAGTTTCTGGACATTGTACCATCCAAACTGCACTTGGGGAATGGGGAGCCATTGGGCTCTTCCCCTTTTCTGCACACTTATTGCCATTCATCGTTTATGTTGATCACTCACACTTTCATGCTCGGTCACCTTGGGAATTTAATGTAATGCCCCGGTTAATCCCTTATGCCTGTGCCGGGACGTTTTGCAATTTGTCATTATGTAATATGTATAACCGGCACGGTAAGGGTTAACTGGTATATTTCTGTTTCTCTATGCCTGTAATGCCCCCGTTAATCCCTTACGCCCGTGCCAGGACTGCTATTCTTTGTCATTTACACGTGACACCGGCACGGTAAGGGTTAACTGGTATATTTCTGTTTCTTTCTGTTCTTGATCCCTGGGACATTTCCGGGACTTGAATCCTATTTAGTACTTAAATATACCAAATTGTGGAATACAGTGCATTTTACATTATACAGTGCATTTTACTATGCTCTATTTTTACATCTGAGATTGTTCGGTCTCTATACACATGTTTTTTTACATAACATTCCCCGTACCAAATTTCGGAATACAGTATATATTAAGGTATGACAAAGGCGCCCGCCCTCTGGAAAGGCCAAGACTTCACCGGTGCTGGCAAGGAGGGTCCTTGACCCATCCACCAGCGGGAACGGCGTGACCCCGCACTGCGGTACGGGAGTAGTTTTAAGTTAGTTTTAGTTTAGTTTAAGTTAGAAGTAGGCTTTAAACTCATTAAGTGGGGAATAATGTAGTGATTCAGCCTGAGCCACTACGGCTCTGGCGGCTTATGCGCGTAAGTCCCGCATTAGGCGACACCCGCGGTAGTTTCCGCGGGCGTGCTTATCACTGGGAACGTTAGATTGAACCTGAGACTGCACGCGACAAACACTGTTGATTGCTCGTCTCTTCTGTCTCTTCGGTCTACTACTACTAGCGACGGTGGAGCTCCACTCAACGAGCAACACTTCAAGCGCTTCTTGAGACAGACTTCAAGCAGTATAGTATACAGCCTATGGTAGGATAAATCCTTATTATAGTCTTTCATGTAATTATAGTTAAGATTTAGGCCCAGTAAGTTATATTCCGCTCCGTCACTACAATATCTTTTAAAGACGTATAATTTGGGGTTCTCGCACTCCAGGAAAGCATAGAGAGTCATATTAACTCCAGGAAGCTCCCATGCCGAAGGCATCGGAGCTTCAGTAGATCAACCATGGGGTTATTAAAACGGCCGATTAGGTCTAGGTGATTGTCTTTGAATCTGCAAAGGGAGTAGACTATTTTGACTTAATAGGTTGCTCTACTCCTCTGAGCATCGGGAGACTACTTGAAATTATAATTTGAACTTTGAAGAAGTCTTCGATGGGAATAAGGGGGTTATTCTGAGTCCTACCCCAATGATTCTGTCATGTTGCAGTGTCAATTCAAAATGACGAAAAGAAGGTACGCATGTGCGGAAGCGGCGCAGCAAATATGAATATTCATGCTATATACTAGAGCGCCGGTTGCTCAAAATTGCTGAATATGCACGACTCGAACAAACAGAGCAGTGAATGTAAATACCCATGACCCTTCTCAATTCAACCTCGTGCATATTCAGCAATTTAGATGTTTGGTCCAGGATTGGAGTCAAGAATTTGTAAGAAATTGATGCGGATTAACTGTCACCGAATCATGTGTCCTACAACCACTGCAACCAAATAATAAAATGTTCAAATACCATGTTTTGTTTTTTTTCTCCTTCAGATTGAAGATGGGTTTTGATGATGCTATGAAAGCTGTAGGAGAGTTTGGTTACACTCAGAAAATACAACAAGTAAGTTGACCACTTATCATTCTGGAATGGAATGCCATTTTGCAAAATAGCCTCAAGAAAAACCAAGTAAAAATGCTGAAATATATTCATGGTATTGGTATGATAGTTGATACTATCTTCTTTCATTTGATAGGCTGCCCGCAAAATGTGATCATGGATGAGTAAAGCACTGGCCATTTTTAAAGGAAAAAAACACCATGCCAAAATTTCCATTGCCCAAGTTTAGGATGATTGATGTTCAGGAGTTAGTGTAATTATGAGTACCTGTAAGGGCATTTATTAATGGGAGTGCTAGTCAGGACAATTCTGGTTTTAACCAATCTTTGCGTTGAACAATGCATTATTCAAAACTTTGGCAGGGCAAATTTAGAATGTAAAAATACTGGTGTTGAGCTCCCTGTGGCAATTTATTGATGAAGGTGTCTAATAAAAGAATACATGATAGGCAGCTATTAGTTAGATTGAATGATTGGGACTGGTTCAAAATACATATCAGGTTATTATCAGGTTACTGGACAATAGAAAGCGTGTATTTCCCATACCACCATTTGTGGTTAATTTGTAATGACTATGACCAATGAATAAGAGTAGGGGAAGTGTATGAAGTGACATCTTTAGTCATGCATTGTGAAAGTAGATTTTCTTGTTCAGTCATGAATGCGATTTACATTCCACCTGTTCCTCTGAGGAGGGCTTGCATGCCTCCGTTCAACAGTGATCCCTACCTGGCCTATCTACAAGTAGGGAACCATTTCTTTCCTCTTCTCCTTGCTTCTCAACTCCTTCACTTTCTCTATTATTTCTAAGATAATTGAATAATTATGTTAACTTTGTATATGCTGTGATTTTTTTATGGCCAAAGAAATAATAATAGTAATAATAATTAATTTCCTGACACTCCTGGCGACGGATAGTCAACTTGTCCGAAACGTCGAGCCACTCCTGCCACCCATCCTCTCCAAGCGCTATAGTTCTCCTTAGAATTATAAGCTAAGAAAGATAACCAACAGTTTTTTCAAGACTACACCAACAGTCCTTTTCAGGACTACACCAACAGTCCTTTTCAGGACTACACCCTCAAGAAAGATTCCAGAGAGTCCTTTCTCAGGACTCCTCAATCCTCCCTCTCTCACATGGTGCATCCGCAAGCCTACTGTATAATAATTAATCTGTTTCTGTTATTGTTTTGTCAGGTGATCTTGAACTCGATCCAGCTGTTTGGTGCGATGCACATGTTATCCCTAGTGTTTGTAGGACGAGAGCCGACCACGGTGATGTGTGGAGATGAGCTGTCAGTCTATGATGATGTATGTCACATGAAACCACCCTGTGACGATTACAAGTATGGTGATGAGTTTACTTCAATCGCTACAGAGGTAAACGCACATAGATGAGTGCGAATCCACATTATTCAATCTGGTGATGTCACATACGTTACTAAATACAGTCAAACCTGCTTTAGTGACTACCTGTCTACAAAGACCACATTTTTTGTTTCCCTTGAAGATGGTTTCTCATTGAAACATGTACTAAAGGAACCTGTCTACAAAGACCACCTGTCTAAAACATGCTTATTTTTTGTTTGCCTTGGGCGGTCCCTGTAGAAAGGTTTGACTGTATCGTGAGCACCTGAGAGTAAATGATGAAAGTATCATTTAACTGGATATGTCATGTCAGGAAAGTTCCAGTAGAGCAATCAATTTAACATAGTCTTCAGTTATACCAAAATCTCAGTTGGGCTTGGCAACATAGGAGACAACATACCGTAGACCTGCTCATGATTATTCAAGTGTCGATCATAAATTGATTTCTGAAGGTAGGGATTTCTACACTTAGCCATCAGTATAGCACCTGGCATTTTGTGGCTTTGTGGCTTTGTGGCTAACCGTAAAATGCAAATTGCTATACTGCGGGGTAAATGTCAAAAATCCATACACTTGTACACATCTACATGTATGTATGAATCATACAGCACCTACATGTACTGTATCTATACTCTTTTCTTTGAGCACTTATAAATCAAGACATGCCTGTGTTGTCTCCTTTTCATCAATGTTTTTCTATGAATGATTTTGCCCAATGCTTGTTTTTTGATAGTGATCCTTTATTTAAAATGGAAACAGTTTGCACCATTCCTGTGATAAACAGTGTTAAAACTGCTTTCTCTCTTTTTTGGGGGGTAAAATTCACTTCAATTCAATTTAAGTAAGTTCAGTTCAGTTCCATTAACAGCAAGCTTTATTTCTACAATGTTTTGTTCTAATTCCTCCTTATCTTCCTCTTCAGACTATAATACTTTGAGTCAGAGAATGAAATTTAACTGAAGTCATTCTTGTCTTTCTTCATTCACAGTGGGACCTTGTTTGTGAGAAGAGCCACAAGGTTGGGTTAGCTCAAAGCATCTTCATGGCCGGAGTACTGTTTGGGAACGTCCATTTTGGGTCATTCTCTGACCACTATGGCCGCTTAAGAATGACCTTGATAGGTCTAGCATTGTTGAGTGTCCTAGGGACACTCAGTGCCATGGTCTGGACATTTGAACAATTTCTGGTTTTCAGGTATGTCTTCATCCTCTTTATAAATATTTTTTCTTCTCTCTCTTTCTCTCTCTCTCCCTCTTCCCCTGTCTAACCCTTGTCTTTCTCTCTCCATTTCTACCTTTCTCTCTCCCTCTCTCTTTTACTTTCTCTCTCATTGATATGTAAATTATTCCTTTCCTCATCCCTATGGCCCGAATTCACAAAGGAGGTTTGTCGACAAACCTCCTTTTGTTTCGCCAAACCTCCTTTTGTTCTTTACAAACAAAGTTTGTAAAAAACGCATAAAAATGTGTCATATGACGTACGAAAACCAAGGTTATTCGACAAACCTCCTTTGTGAATTCGGGCCAATGTGTCTCCGAATAGTAGACTTAATTGACTGTGCATTGTAAGTGATCTGTATTATTGTAAATATATTACAAATTTGTTTGTTATTGGTCAATAAATAGCTTTTCATCAATCATACTTAGAAATGCCAGCTGTATTTGATATGCCTTAACAAAATTGTGGTGCGTAACATACTTGTGTTAATTGTCAGTATAAAATGTTAAAGCACTTACTATTATTGCCCAGACATATGATTGGTGCCTTAAAGTGAAAGAAAACGGCATTATTGAACATGTATATATACAATGTTATTACATTTTCATTTCCTTCTGCTTCTCATCTTGTAGATTCTTAGTAGGTTACGGTGCAGGAGGAGTGATTCTATCTGTATTTGTTCTACAAACAGAGAATCTCAGCTCACATCATAGAGCACTCTCAGCTACTTGTTGTCCATCTACATTTGCTCTTGGTGTTATGGTATGTCTAGGGAGAGTTTCACAAAGACTAAGATCCACTTTAAGTTGGTCTTAACTATGGCATGCCATTGTTTGCTCTCGCCATTATGATCTTTAGATAATATTTGTTCTTTGATAATTAATTATCACAAATTTGTAACCATGATTGGTATATCCCTTGAGACACCAATGCCAGTAAAAGCGTGAGATAGAAAAGTGGCATGAATGGCCTGCCATAGTAAAATTTGATCTTAGTCTTTGTGAAACACCCCCCCCCCCCCCCCCCCCCCTCCGATCTTTATCTCTCCCTGCAGTTTTAGTTGGAAGTGTACCAGTCACCTAAAATGTTGGGGGTTAAGGGTGGTGTAATGTGACATTCTCCATAAAAAGTTTTGTAATGTTAATTGTAAGCAACAAAGGGCTGATCATATTCTCAGTTATGTGTGTGCTACAAGATACAGTAATGTGAAGCGGCAGCACTCTATGCTTATGTTATAACGATTTGTTTTGTTGCTAGTTTTTTTTCCTTTGAATAATTTACTGCATTATGTGTAAATAGGGCTCTATTGTGTTTGATTGTTGATTAATACAAGTAAAACTTTTCTTTTATCAGCTGTATGCACTGATGGCCTATTTTGTCCGAGACTGGAGGAACTTGCTTCTTCTCTCCTCTCTGCCTGTTGGAGCATACCTCCTTATCTACTTGTAAGTATAAGCAATGATGCTCATCATTTTTTAAGTCTTCTTCATTCTACTCAAGTATGCAAGCTTAAATTAAAGGTAATACAAAGTTTTGGGAAATTTTGAGAATTGGCTGGAAAGTGATTCTTTACAATTTTGCTATATTTTGATGACCCTGTGGATGAATTATAAGCACTAGAAAATTTAGCCCCTAAAACACTTCTGCTTTCAAGAAAAATTGAATATAAGGTGCCCCCGGTAAATTTTGATAAATTTAAAATAGTGCTTACGGCCATACAATGGTAGCTGTGACCATGAAAATCTCAGAATATGTAGTTGTGATATGTAATTTCCAAACGGGAATAGCCAATTGGTCGATTTTGGTCAAGAAACATTGTTTTATGGCTTGATTAATATCTTGACCTTGAGAGAGAGCGCTATACAACATAAAGAGTTTATTATTTACAATTTCATAACTTGAGACTCAATTTCAACCGCGACAACGCTCACTGAATATTGTAGGATCGCATATGCAGAGCTGCCAAGTCTCCCGGATCCTGCGGGAGACTCCCGGATTTTGACCCAATATCCCGTTTTCCCGACCCCATGCAAAAATCTCCCGGATTTCCAGATTTTAAGTTGTATTATTTTCATAAACGACTGTTTCACAAGACTAGCATGTTGAGTTCGTACGTACGTATACAAACACACGGCAATTCTGTAATATGAATTTTCCTGTTATCCAGTCGTCGAATATAAATTTACCGTGATATCGTACTTTATTTAACAGCGTAATAAATGAGAGTTACGCCGAACGACTGGCGGGCTAATCTAACAAACCATTGGGAACATGTGATAATGTGAGTGGTGTTTGTGTGATAGCAATTCGCCTGCTTGCTCTGCCGGGCGGCTTCCTCGCCGGCCCCCGTAGCGTCCCGGTACGTTGGTGCCGGTTTCCGATCGGTCGCGTCAGAGCAGCCAGAAGTTGCACTGATACAACAAGCAGACTTTGTCTGCTGCGATCGGCCCAAAAAACTGCACATTTCAACATCAGTTTTTGGATTGATTTGGGGACTTTTGCGATGTGATTTTTAAGTGGATTATCATTTGATACCAACATGGCAGTGTTACTGCAGAGTGGATTTTGAAGCCGACTTTTTTTTTCTGATCTCCTTTGCCGTTGGGAACGCATCGATATAACTTGCATCTTCCGAAGGCGTAAGTCAACTTTGTCCAAAATAAGGCTGTATTTTGCTCTCTGTTTGAGTATTAAAATATCATCCAGGACAATGTCGAAGTCGAAATATTATCAGAAATATAAAGATGACTACCACTTGGAATGGCCTTGTGTTGGGAAATCTACGAAAGGCGAATACTACGCATTTTGTACAGTTTGCGGCGCAGATATCTCCATCAAGAGTGGGGGAAGAAATGATGTATTTCGCCACATCACATCTGACAAACACAAGCAAACCGCGAAAGCAAGGGGCAATACAAAAGGAATACAGAGCTTTTTCAGGTTAGTATGAACAGTTCTTAGATTTGTAAAATCGAGAAATAGTCTACCCCTCTATACCATAGACGTGTCATTTTCATCTGTGCAATACTTTGTTGAAAAGTACCCTTGCATTTTGAACAGACAATCAGAGAATGGAGACCTGGACAAGCTTGAGCTGGAATTTGCACAATACCAGGTTGAAGACTTTTCAGGGGAACCAGAGATCCTGAACAAAAACTTGAGAATAGACAAGAAATGGTCTGCAATTTCAAAGATGGAGGATGGCAATGGCTCAAAGAAATACACACTTCTGAGCAAAGTGATGAAATCTTTGCTTGTGATACCACATTCCAATGCTTCATGTGAAAGAGTTTTTAGCATTGTTAGGAAGAACAAAACTGATTTCAGGGGATCAATGAATTTGAAAACACTTCAAGCACTCCTAACAGAGAAAATTGCCAACACAGATGTCCCATGCTACCAAAGGAGTATAGCAAGGACCTCCTTAGCAAACTCAAGCAAGCAACCTACCAGTCACTTCAAGGAAAACCCTCAAGCACACCCCAGTCCTTGCCTTCCACAAGTACATCCCCCATTTCACAATAGAGGTAACAGGAGTTCATAGTCTGAAATATGATGTGAAGTTCATATGTTATCAATTGTATGCAAATAAAATGTGCCATATCAAAGCCTTCCATTTTGAGAAATCATTGAAAAAATGTGTTCTAAAAGGGTTTCAAAGAGGCTTAAAACCAAGAGCTTTTGGGGCCTGCCCCCTGCCCCCCCCCCCCCCCCACCAGGGGCACTAAAAGGCCATTCTTGGTTCCCGCCAACAATGAAGTCGTTCGATGCTGCTCTCTCAGAAATCTCCCTGATTACCCAAATCAAATGTTGGCAGCTCTGCATATGCTTTCAATATGTTCATTTGAACCAAATTCATGACCCCATACCAAAACTTTGTATTACCTTTAAGGTTGATTGATAAAGGAGTACTACATGTACCAAAGAAGGCATGGAGGCGAGTTGGTTCAGTCAGTAGTGTATGTGTCTGTCAAAGCTAAGATCACAGGCTTGAATGCAGCCCATGAGGATGACTGAAACCCATGTTGTATGTCATTACAAAAAGCTCTCATTAAAACTATACCCCACCACTATAACACAGGAACCAATGTAAATCAGGTGGGGTATCACTACCCCACTTTTGTTTCTCTCGTTAAATCTCGGACAGAGCCTTGCAGCTCTGCGTGAGAGATGGCAGCTGTACTCTTCATCATCTTACGTAATAGTGTAAACAAACTCTTACTGGGGCTCTGCCTGAAAGGAAATGAGAAGTAGGAAATATATATTTTACTTGTTTTAAGATATTTTCATGTTGAAAAGTCACTTATAATTTAGATGAAGAAAATAATGAAAGTTTGAACGAAGCAAAATGACCCAGAATTGGCGATATAACAACAATTTAAATTGTGAAAATTAGCACCCTTTCCTCCTTCCTCTCCCTCTCTATCACCCCTGTCAAGGTCTCGGCAGGGGGATTACATTGTATAGCGCTAGTGTTTACTTTAGGCTTAGCTCTAGGAGAAGTGAAAGTCAAATGGGGGTTTCAATTTTAAATGACAAGTTTTTGTCATGTTATCCTACCCCTGCTGTTTCATTAACAATGGCTTGGTCACAGTGTAAATCATGCAGTCCATTTGATAAGACATGATACCAGGAGGCAAGAACTGAAGATGTTAAATGATAATGTTTGCTTTCCCCTCCCTGGGACAGTAGATATCAAATAGTTAGTAACGATAACAGTCCGTACATGTATATGCTCACACATTCAGTTGACCGACCCACTTCTATGCAGACAGAAAGAGTTTGTTCAGACGCTTGTATCATTTTGGCGATTATCCCGTTATAACTGGCTGGCAATAAGCCTAACTTACCGTTACCTTAGACAGCCAATCATTATATCGTTATATTCGTGCCTTGTTCCTTTTAGTTTCTGTTTATATTGATCAATTTCGGCTTTCTGTTTCATTCTTGCGTTTTACTCTGATGAGTGCAAGTCGAAAAGCTTTAGTATGGCTCTTTTCAACGCTATTCTTCAATTTTTTAGTACCAATCATCTTTTCATATGCTCAGGTGTTAAGTCTATAGGGCCTATGTCTCTGAAACCAGAAAGTTTTTGTATGAGAGAAACTTTCATGAATGGTTCAGATTTGTGAAGTTTAGTGCAGCAAAATAAAGAATGGAGTAGAAATACTAAATTTAATATTATGTATTATTATGTATTATGTAATATTATGTGAAGAGTTCATATTGCAATTGTGTGTAATGTTGAACAGTAGTAGATTGAAAATAACTGATTCAGGAATATTCAGGTATGGAAGGCATGAATAATAAATTGTTTATTTGTATTTATTTATTTTTTCTAGTGTGATTCCTGAATCGCCTCGTTGGCTGATATCTAAAGGTCGTATCAGTGAGGCTGAAGACATCTTACATGAGATAGGAAGAAAGAATGGGATGAAAGTTACCCGCTCTATGATCAACTTGTCTGAAACTAAGACTACTCCTAAGACTGATAAATATGGTTTATTGGATTGCTTCAAGACACCTGTACTCAGAATGAGAATGATGATTCTTATCTGCTCTTGGTAAGTCAGAGATCTTTTCATTATTTTTGATAGGCATCAATGAGAGGAGAATGCAATCATCTTGAATTTAGAGTTGTCCTCTTTTAAAAGACAAACAGAGGGTGAGCTATGAAGCAGTTGCTTTATACTCCTCTTGTAACATATCAAACAAATGTCATCTAGAAAAGCATTAATCTACCATTGCCACTCCCCACCCTGGGGAAGTAAATGTCATAGGAAGATATGCTTTGATGGGTGCCTTTATTTCGTAGCACGTTTGAAATATTAACTATTTTTGGGGGGTATAATTAGACCTGAGTCATCACGGGTTTTGCCGAATATTTAATTAAATTGAAATATAAGTTTGGGAATTACATATTTTTAGTTCTTTATGTCAAAATGTCAGTGTGAATTTTAATTTTGAAAAACCCGAAACTCGATTATTCAAACCTGGGTTTTGGCGCGACGGCTGGGGACCGGGCGGGGAACCGTTTTGACTCGGGCCTACGTATAATTATCATGATTGTTATTGTTACTTATTACAGTTACATTGTAAAGCGCATAGAAACGTGGTACTAAAGAGAAGGTTGAGTTATGGGGAGAGGTGAAAAATAACTTGTGAGCGTTTTCATTGTTATTATGCAAGTTTGAAAGAACGTCACATATAAACAAATCTTCCCTGTAAAAGATGGTTCTGAAAAAGTCTTAATATTCTGCAATCGCATGTTTTAAGCGCTATACAAAGTGATTATTATTATTATTATTTATTATATGCATTTCTACTGATTGATCCTGTGATTGTTTTGTGTAGGTTTACTGCTAGTATGGTGTACTATGGCCTGACAATGAATGCCGGTAATCTAGGTAGTAATGTATACATCAGCTTTGCTCTCTCTGGTTTGGTGGAGTTACCTGCGTATCTCTTCGGCTTCTTAGTACTTAATAGGTAAGTCCTGTAGCCCAGAACAATTTCACTCTATCGTATATATATCAGAACTTATTCATAAACACAGTCCAGTTCATACATTGGCTGTACACCTTGCAAGAGCTACCGGTACTTACCTACCTTTGCATGCAGCCTTCATGAAAGTGAAGGCGGTCATTGTCGCTTCGCGGCAGACGGCTACTACTACTACTACACCTTGTAAACATGAATACATTTTGGAAACAGATCCTTCAGGGCATCAGCTTCTGCTCTGTGCTATCGAATGTTATAATGTAAAGGGCATAGGGAATTAAATTGTATTTTTCATGCGTTATACAGATTTTAACATTTTTATTTCTATTACCCTTGTCACATTGACAAGACTGCTAATAGATCAGTAAAAGACCAAACAGATGGTGTATACTTGCAAAATAAAGAAGCAATTGCCCGACTTTGATAGTATTAGAGTTTCGATTATAAATTACTTCAAAAACGAAAAGTATATTGCAAATTCGAATTGTAGAAATAATAAATTCACACGAAAATGGTTTCAATTCAGGAATTTGTTTACTTAAAATGATATTTTTTCTGTATTTGTTTTTTTTTCCATGAGTGTTAGAAATGAATTATTGATTTGTTAGTTTTCTGTTACTCAACAGCTCAACAATACTTGTATCTTGAAAAGCCAATTTTATTTTATTTATGTTATTATGTAAATTACCTTGAATATATATTTTTGTATGTGTTTCAAATGAAAATCAATAAAATCCCTGTGGAGGGAAAAATATGGAGAAAAAAAAAGGCCAAACAAATTATATTTCATATAAATTGATTATTACTCAGTTTGGAGTCAATTTACTAGTTTGTCTGGACACTGTTCTCCATTTGATTAGCAACACAAATCTACATATATGCATGGTGCTTCATAAACAAATTAAAATTTATACAATTTTTTTCAATTCCAGTAAATTATTTCCTGACTTTTCCATGATTTTGTTGTGAGAGGTGCTCATTGCACTGTAGAGTCTGAGGAGTGTGTCCCCTTGACCAGTCCTGAAGAGCTATATCTCTCTACAGTACATGTTAATGAAATGCAATGCCTACCTGCTTCTTGCAATTGACAATGGATGATTCAATTCAGACTTTTGATTATTTTTTTTTGTACTACAGGACTGGTCGAAGGAAAGCGATGGCAGCTTCTATGTTTGTAGGGGGTGTGTCCTGTTTGAGTTTGTTATTAATATCGAAGGAAGGTAAGAAAGTGTGTTCAATCTGACTTAATCTCTCTCTGTACCTATGTGAAACATTACGTCCCAGATGCTAGCCTGGTGGGAGTATGCCACAACTCTCCTCTTTTTTTTCCTCCTCACTCACATGCCTGTAATAGTCAAAATTATATTCTGTATGCGATATCCAATCAAAAAATTGATTACCCAAAGTGACTTTTTCAACATAAACTGTAGCTGAAAATCAATATTCTGCTTTCTGATTTTGTCATTTCTATGAACCTGTGATATTGCTCTGTGCAGATACATTGGAAAAATAGGATTCTAGCCTACAATCCTGTACAGCTTCTAGATTGCATTTCTTTCAAACATTTACACTATTAAAATTCATATGAAGTCATAGACAGTACATGATAATATCTCACCTGTATATCTTATGATTTAAGGAGAACAATATGAACTAATTTTTGACTAGTTTCCTACTTTTTCTGAGCTGTATTTCTTATTTTTTATTCCAATTTTTGGTTTGTTATGTTTATTATTTGTTGTACAGATGAAACCAGGGTGAAGATCAGAACAGCTCTGGCTCTGATTGGTAAAATGGGTATATCATCTGCTTTCAATATCGTCTACATTTACTCATCAGAACTATTACCAACAGTATTAAGGTTAGCACATAGTTTATACTTTAACTTCTTGAAACATATCTACTTATTATCAACATAATTCAGGTTAACAAATTCAACAGAGTTATGGGTTGCTCGGTTGCCCGTCTGTCCCGTTCTTGTGATCGCGTTATCTCAGGAACAGATAAATGGATTCTTGCCAAACTTAGGTCATGTATGTATCTTGCTGAGCCAATGAGTTGAGTAATTTTGGGATCATGAAGTCAAAGGTCACAACTCACAGGGCTCATTATGTATGCATAAATAGCTTTTGATCGCATTATTATTAGAATCGATGGACAGATTACCATAAAACTCAAGACATGTATGTATCTTGCAAAGCCAATGAACTGATTAAATTTTAGGGTCATGAGGTCAAAGATAGAAGGGTCATACATGTATATGAAAAATAGCTTGTAATCACGATATTCTGAGAACCTGTTAATGGATTACAATTGAACTTGAATTTGTAAAAATTGCTTCTGTTTTGGTTTGTGAAATCACTTCAAGGCCTCATTTTTTACTGCGCGCAGTCGAAGTTCCGTCTAGTAGGAGATGATTCCAGCAAGTTTCTGTGTATTTGTTTTGTTTTACTTGTTCAATTAATCAATCTACTGCAGGATAAACAATCCAGAATGAATTATATCCACGTTCTCTCAACATACGATGCCCATACCAGAGCTCAAGATTAGCTTTAACATTGTTAGATCAGGGAGATGGAAATTAAAAATCTTGTGAATCTTGTGTAATGAATGTAGAGGTGTTATGGTTTAGTGGATCAGTCACTGGACTGTGGATCAAGAGGGTCGTGGGTTCACGTCCCTGCCACTTCCTGATGCCCTTTGGTATTTGCCATACCATACGTGTACCTATGTGTGAAGATTGTTTTTAGTAGTAGTATCATTATTAATATTGATTATTAAGAACGAAATAAGTCCATTTTTATATTTTAGTCACAAAACATCATTCCTGATCTCACTGATGTGCTTTCCAGCATCTATTTCTTCCCCTGAATCATTTTGATTTGAAATCAAAATGTGTTTTAACAAGACAGTATAAATGTCAGTCATTCCTATTTAATAGAAATGATTCAATGTTTGGGTCTTCAAACAGATCTAATGAATTTTAATTCTTTTATTTTTCTGAAATTTTTAGTGAACTTTAGTGAACTGAATACTCAATATTACTATTTTCATCATAAGAGATGTTGGATTGGAAGGTTTGTGTGTATGAATAAAGTGATACCAAAATGCTTATTTTTGTTAATTTTTCCACAGGAACAGCGGGATGGGAATATGTTCAATGGCAGCTAGGATAGGAGGTGTGGTAGCCCCTCAGATCATTCCTATGGTGAGTCTCTCTAGATGTTAACCCTATTTAGCCCGGGCTATTTTGAAACTGCATAGCCCAGGGGGGGGGGGGGGGGGCTTCTAAGGCCCCCCCCCTATGATTTCGGCCGTGAAACGCCCAATTGCCGCGAAAATAAATAGTCCAATGGCTTCTATTGGTAAATCAATAATGATAAATCAAAATCGATGAAAGCTGTGTGTTTCTCTCCGCTTTCCTCTCCTGAAAGTTGTATGATCAGTCAGAACCTTATATGGAAGGTGTCTAATTTAGTCAGTTTCCATTTGCAGTTTGTCATAAGACGCTGACAACGGACTTGGTGGAAATACCATTAATGGGTGTACAAGTCTAGACACAGCAAACCTGTAGTCCCATCAAGAAATACCTGTAGTCTCTCGGAGAGTCTTTGGATGAGGGAAATGAAGATAATGATATTTCCATTTTGGGACGATTGGTGGAAAATGCAGAGCACGACAAAAGTGAGTCCTGTTGGTCATAAAACTGAAAGCTAATCCTGATGATTGACAACAGCTATTGAGTAACCACCCAAATGGTGTCAAATTTCCCATGAGAAGCCCTTACTATGCATCTTTAAAGTTTTACTTTCACCCCTACCCCTTTCTCCTTGTAATTGGATGGTATATTGTGCAGCATAATTTTTAACAAAAACTTTTTTCTAATTTTGTTCTTTGCCTTGGTATTCCACACCCATCCCTCCTCAGTTGTCACAGTTGAATATTGTGCAGGTTTTCAACTAGTTTTTTAAAACATTTCCTTTCTCATTTTATTATTTGCCAGGGTGATAGAACAACATTTTTGATATTTGGAGGAACAGCGTTAGCCTGCGCCATCTTCGATCTTGGATTGCCAGAGACACTCAATAAACCTCTACCTGAAAGCATTGATGATGTAGAGCGTGACGCAGCAATCACAGATAAACAGGAGAAATATTCTAGTAAAGGCTACTAACCTCTAGACTATGAAGCATTATCATGACAAAGAGAGTAAAACAACACGCTGTTGGCCAAATAGTATTGTCTAGCAAGTGCAATAAAGAGACCCTACTTCGACATATTTACGACGCGTGTGCTCCCCAAGAAAGCTGCCATTTTTAAGAAATTTCCCTTCAAAACTTCTGGGTTGTGACGTATCGCAAGGAGAACTGATGTAGAGCGCAGCGCGCCCGTTATATGCAATACAAGTCAAACATGGTGTACTGCCAAGTGTTTGGTTGTAATTGTTCCTCGAAAACTCTTAAGGTGGAGAAATTTCCGGACAAAACATACAAGTACGACAGGAAAAACGACAGAAGAAGGATTTTGCCTCCCTTTTGTTAAATGTATGATGCTTTTATATATTTGTTTAGATAATGTATTAAATGGCCTACAAACTGAAATGAACATGTAGTTTGAGGTTAATTTCCATTTAAGGGAGGAAGAGGTAGGTCAGCATGAAACACACACCACTCAGTATTTCCATAATCATAAATAACTGCAATACTGTAACTGTAAATACTAATATATTACATACATATATATATATATATAAATATCCACATACCGGTATAGATCAGACATAACGGGAAAGTGGAATTATTGATGGAAAATTGATCTTAAAGACACTGTTGGTAGTATAAAAAAAAAGAAATAGATTAATTATTTATGAACAGACATCATATCAGCCATATATTACAATACTATCAATAGCATATATATATATATATATATATATATATATATATATATATGTACATTTGCTATTTTAGTGTCTGTCAGAGAAGTAACAGCTCTCTGAAACTCAAAATCTAAAGCTTTTATAATCAGAAGTTGACCTAAACACTAGCTATCTCTTTGAGGACATCATCTCATCTAGAGCAGGCATATTCACAATGACTTTGGATTAATTGATCATGGCTCATCGCCTCACCTATATAGGCAAGCCATTCAGGTCTACATGTTATGTCGTCACTGTCACTGCAGCAAGTTTGACCCCTGTTGACCCATCATTTGGAGCAGTGTGGTAAATGAGGTTTTGATTTGCTCTTGTGCAATACTGAAATGGAACATGATGTTTCTTTATATTCTACATTCATTCAGCTTTCCAATAATAACAACTTGTATTTTCATAGGGTGTTTAAAGTTTAAGAGTGGTCAAGCAGATTAGGACGCAGTTCAGTTTGAGTTAAGCAAGCATTGTGGGGTCTACTGAAAACACATCTTTTTAATTAACTGTACTGTAAATCTAAGCATATCAGGAACTCTTGTAGCGCAGTAGAATATATACCTAATGTTGGATAGTTTCTGCGCTCTATAAATGTACTATTATTATTATTATTATTACTGGACTGTGCAGTCAAGAGAGATGAAGAAGATAATAGACATCATGCGTAACAATCATCAGAACATGTATTGCTCTGGATGTAATGTGTTCCATGACACTATACTCATTCAAATTATGAGCTTCAAATATTACTTCTACAAAGATATATTGCAATTAAAATACATTCTAAAGGAACAGTAAAAGGTCTTATTGAGTAGACTCGTTAGCGCACACATACGCACTCACATAGAATAGTGATCGCACAGAATCCTAGTCCGACTTTGGTTTCGTGCTGTATCTGAGCCTTATACTTATCGTTTAATTTGTTCATACTTTATGCATAGAATGTCATAAGTGTTTTTAGGTTGATGTTATACATCATAGGTGACAGGTGAATGGTACACTATAAAAGTAAAGAGCTATCATTTAATGATACATGTATATAAAATGGTATATTAGAAGCTCTTGAATTGTTTCAACGTGGATTAGGTTTTCCCAATACTCATTGAAACTGTATTCACGTAATGTTGTTTGAAAATGAGGGTACCGGTATGTAGAATATCTAGTAGATTTATTTATTAATAATCCTTTACGCAGAGAGAGAATAATTTGTAACACACTTGTTATAACATTCCTGCTCAGTCTTTACAAAAAAAGTGTCATCCTTTTGAAAAGTTGAAATCACTGTTTTTCCATTTTGATATTGTAAATAATCTAAATGTATGTATATCCTGTTCAGTATAAAATCAGTGTCGCTAATTATTGAAAGACGAAAAGCTGATAAGAATCTGTCCTTTTGAAATGTATAGTTAGAATGAGATCACTGGACCATTTAATTCAATTTATTTATATTTCCAACGAAACAATTACAAATCAATTATAAACGTCTACAACAAACTAGGAATACATATTGGAAACAGAGGGGTCCATTGAAAAGCAATACTTGTCCTTTGTAAGAGCAGCTATATATAGTGCAATGTACTTGGGGCTATATGGTATGCAGTATGTACTAAGTAGTCTTGTAATTCCAACCCTTTGTGTCTGGCTAGTTTATGTGCTTGCAAGCTAGATACGTGCTAGAGCTTTTCTTTGTGAAAGGGGTCATGTGATGTAAATTGTTAACATTATATCTGGGAAACATGATGGGTCTTCTTTATAAAATTATGTACAGAAATAACCTCTCCTTCTTTTTTTGGTATATTTTTTTAAGATATTAATATGATATAATATGATATTAAAGGTAATACAAAGTTTTGGGAAATTTTGAAAAATGGGTGGATAGTGATTCTTTACAATTTTGATATATTTGGATGCCCCTGTGGATGTATTAAAAACATCAGAAATTTTAGCCCCTAAAACACTTCTGCTTTCGAGAAAAATTGAATATAAAGATTTACCGGTGCTCCCGGTAAATGTTCATAAATTTCAAATAGCTCCTACGGCCGTACAATGGTAGCTGCAACCATGAAATCTCAGAGTATGTAGATGTGGTATATAATTTATGAACGTGAATAGCTAATCGGTCGACTTTAGTCAATAAACATTGTTTTATAGCTTGATTAATATCTCGACCTTGAGAGGGAGCTATTCAACATAAAGTGTTTATTTTTTGTAATTTCATAACTTTAGAGTCGATTTCGACCGCGACAACGATCACTGAATATTGTAGGATCGTATGTGCTTCCATTTGAACCAAATTCATGACCCCATACCAAAACTTTGTATTACCTTTAAGTCAAAATAAATATCAATAGGAATTTGCATACAGTTTTAGAAACTTGGAGAACCAATCCCGACTAGCACTCGTGCTAGCTTTTGGATCTCCCTTTAACAACATTTTAAGTTTTTAAGTTTAAAAATATCCTTTATTTGAATCACTTATATGCTATTGGAACTCTGTGAATTTCAATTCCAGCCACAAATCTCTATGTGTTATTAAGTTATAGCTAATTCACAGGTTTTAATATGACATGGTATATGATTAATTTAATTTGTACACATAGTTCAACTATGGATATTTTCTTTTTCTTTGTGACTCATGTACATGGATATTTTTGTTATTTTGTTACCCACTTGAATACATTTGTAACATTGTGTTATGTTGTTTTGTTGTTAATAAATTCAAATTCAATTCAATTCAATTCAATTTAAAAAAGAAACAATATGTCAACAAGGTTTCAATTGGAATTATAACTTTCTAGGGTTGCTAGGATTACATAATAGTGATTGAAACCTAGATATGAAGCCAATATGTAGTTCAGTAGCCGTATCAAGACTTGAGCAACATCCCCCTTTCCATAAGGGAAATTACCTGTCTTGCTACCTTCAAAAGATCCCTCATAACTTACCTTTCCCCAGTGATCTATTTCATCTACTTCCTGTGAGACTGTCAATTTGTTTCCTCTTTTCATATATTTGTATTCGGAAGTGCTATGGTACTTACCAGTATTGTTTTTAGCGCTCCTAAACGTGCTATATATACAGTATATAATATGCTGGTTGTATTAAAATGTGATAGATTTATTCTGAAAACTCTTCTTTATAATTTACTCTACTGTAATGGCTGAATGTAGACAAAGTAGCATCTGTATCATTGTCTTTGCACGATGACCCCCCCCCCCCCCGCCCCTCTCTCCCTCTCTTCCAAAGACCTCTCTATTTAGAGCACAATTCTCTCTTTATCTGTATTGCTGCCACAAACCACATGCTAGTAGCTTTGAACCATCATATTTTTCATATGTAATACATAAAACATTCATAAGTATATTGGAATATTGAAATATTCAAATGAAGGTGCTTGTATGTTTATTGGTGTAAATTTACAATATTATATGTAGGGGTATAAAAACTATATATTTGTTTTGAGATATTATTACTGGTATTGGACTTGGTTTATCATGTTATGCATTTTTTGAAGTATTGGACGCTTCACCATTTTGGGTAAAGATATATTTTTTGATAAGACGTATGATTTATATAATCATCATCATCGTCACGTTCGTTATCACCATCATCACCGTCATCGTCATCATTATTATTATTATTATTAGTAGTAGTAGTAGTAGTAGTAGTAGTAGTAGTAGTAGTATAGTTATTATAATTTTCTATTTGTAAACACAGACACATATTATGAGATGATATTCTAGCATTTGATGATATACCATTATTCAATATCTGCCAGTCAGTGGTAAAATATGCCTTTTTTATATTTTGACATTTTGTATAAATTTTGAATAAATTTACCATGATAGGTGAGGAAAAACTTACCGGTAATCAAAGAAGTCTTAAACGGAATTATCAAATCTTTTTGTTGGTGTTTTGGTTTCTTAGTATATGTCCATGTTTTAATACAGAATTGGATTTTTGTCATTGTTACCAAGCATTTAATTGTTTAAGAACAAATGTTTCATATTTGATATTTCTTCTTCAAATGATAATACAGTGGATTTAAATAACATTCTTCTTTATTAAAGATAAATAGCATGGGGGTTCTCCTAAATAGGAGATGGTTAATGTTAGACATTTGATGTGTAGAAGCAAATTACCCATTTAATCCATCCAGTGAGGTGAGACAAAAAGTGACATTACCAATTATCAATTTGACATTCCTGTATGTACAGTGATATGTTTTATTAGAATCATACCTTTCTTAGTGTAGAATTGTTTCGCTCAAACTGTCATCAATATGTTTCTCTGATTTCCTGTATTCATTCAGAACATCCTACGATTGAGATTGGATTTATTTCACCTGAAAATTAGTTACCAGGTAAATTTGTAGTTTTTAGGTATTTTATAGAAATCTATTTTCCTATTGAGAATCTATGTATGATAATATTGATATTCTAACACTGAAAATAATTTAAATATTTGGTGAAGTGACTTATAATAATCCCATTGCTTGAATTAATTGATAAATTGATATGATTATTACAAGATATTAAATTTTCATGTGTAAACACATATGATAAATTTGTAATTTATTTGTTATTATTCATTTGTTTGCGTGACCGAATCCGGATTATTGTTCAGAGGGAAAGTTTCTCATGGGGTTGATGTCTATGAAATACAGAAATCTACTTTATCAATCAAAGTGTATTATGCACAACATGAAATTAATTTTCATTTTTATAAATAACATGAGTAGTTTATGCATCATTCGGCAGACTTGCTCATCCGACTACTTTGGGGTATTTTTATGTGTGTAACTCCCCCCCCCCCCCCCCCCCCCCCCTTTGGATTTTTTTTTTTTTTTTTTTAATTATTAAAAAAAAAAAAAAAAAAATTATTATTCCAACAGCTAGAAAGGTGACCTTACCCCCCCCCCCCCCCCCCAACGGAGCCAAATGTCAAATTTTTCAAATTTCGAGACCAAAAAAAAACAGAAAAAGTTTCCTCTTACCC